TACTGTCATGAACTTTCCTTACAATAGTTTAGGTAACTGTCTGTCTCATGGAAATGACTATTTTACTTTTTATTTACACTGAGCAAAAGCAAAGTGAGTAGTTTTATTTACTACTGATAAAAAATTTGTTAGGAAATGTAGTCACAAAATATTGCTTATAATGTGTATAAAATTCTCCAGTAACACTAGGGAATCTGAAGATTTCAGGAGTCCAGCGAGCAGCACTGAAATGCCAGGAGCTATGGTATGTGTGTGTGGTGAGAATGCTGCATGCAGGATCTAAATTTAGGTCCCAGTTGACAGTATGCTGTATTAATTCTGGAAGATTCTTTTGTGTCTCACAGAGCCAGATGTATCTTGTTCTGTATCCTGATCAAGCCAAGGAAGACAATAGCATCACAGCTGCCTTCTATTTAACACAGCGTTTTGAAAATTCATATTTCTTCTTAATGGGAGGGAAAAAAATCGGAAGTAACCTCAATTTGGGAGAAGGCAACTAGCAGTTGTAGACAGATGCCAGTGGCTCCTGCCTATAATCCTACCTACTCTGGTGGCTGAAATCTGAGGATTATAGTTCAAAGCCAAACTGGGCAAGAAAGTCCTTGAGATGCTTACTTCCAACTAACCACAAATAGCTAAAAGTAGAGCTGTAGCTCAAGTAGCAGAGTGATAGCCTTGAGCACAAAATTTCAGGAACAGTGCCCAGGCAGAGTTTAAGCCCCAGGAAGATGGGCAAAAGAGAGAGAAAAATAGCTCCTTAGAGATATTATATATTCTAATTAAATATAGATATATGTATCTTGCATATATTAAATATAGATATGTGCAAATATGCATATATTATATATGTATATAGATATTATATACATAATATATTTAGACAACACTAACATACACACACACACAAATTTACACACATACACATAGTTTTAGAAGGAATAGTTACAAAGGATTTGACTTTGTGCTAGCATATTTAATTAAAAAATTATAATTGTCTTCATAGAAGACTATGACTCATAACTGAGTCATTCATATATTATGTCAATGATATTTAATGACAGCATTATTTTCAAGGTCCTTTTAAAGCTGGTAAGCTGAAGAACTAAACAATTAAACCCTTCATTTAAAAATTATATTGATCTGGAATACTGTGTTGATAATTGCTCATCTGATGCTTCTACTCACCTAAATACCTCAAAAGTTATCCTCAAAGGATAACAGACTATGGATTTTTCCCCCAACCTGGACAATCTTTTAATATGGTAAAGTAAGACATTCTTTCATTTTCAAATAAATCCCATAATAAAAATTTTTCTTTCTTTCTTTGAGGTAACAGCCTTCCCGTTGTCAAAGTACTTCTTGGCAAACCTGTATTTGCAATTTCAGATTATACGGATCTCAAATAAAAATCATTTTTTTTATTCTCAAATCAGAAAGCTAACAGCCATCAGGTATTAGCAATATTTTCATTCATAAAATAATATTGATCATTGATGCATTCTAACATAAGCTATGCCAATCTTTGGAAATCATGGCATCTGATTCCAGAATATTTGCAATATGAAGGAAAGTTATGAAATCTACATCACGGCCTCTATATGTGATCTCTAACAAATCTTTTTTGTACTTTGCCTAGGTAAGTGCATTTGGAAATTTCAGAAGAATTTATGAAGATGTGAAATTAAAATTCCCAAACAGAAGAAAAATGTTGAAAGATCTTTCTAAATCTAATAATCACCATTTTTAACATTTCTCTGAGCAAATTTATGTCATAACTTTGTGTCTCCTCTGCTTCCACCCCACTATTTATCATTTGATTACTTGATAGTTATAAATACGTTGGTATGTATATTTCAAAGTGTCACCAGCTATTTTCTTTCATAGGATAAAGAGAATAGTGTGGATAGAATTTTGTTTTGTTGGGCTGGGAAGGTGGCTCAGTGTTAGAGTGCTTGCCTTGCATGCATGAGGCCCTGGGTTCGATTCCTCAGCACCACATAAACAGAAAAAGCCAGAAGTGGTGCTGTGGCTCAAGTGGTAGAGTGCTTGCCTTGAGCTGAAGAGCTGAGAGACAGCGCCTAGGCCCAGACTTCAGGTCCACGACCGGCAAAAAAAAAAAAAAAAAGAATTTTGTTTTGTTGCAAGTATGTATAAGACAAATAAATAATCATAAAGGCTTTCTGCAAATCCAAGTCCACAAGGCCTTGGTAGGTCTCAAACAGATTAGATCACTTCCTGAACTAATGGATAAATAGATGTATCATTAATAAAAAAAGAAAAGATGCAGATCTGCTTTTCATTCCTTTACATATTTGTACCAGTTTGGGGGCTTGAACTCAGGGCTGGGTGCTGTCAGAGAACTTCATTTGCTCAAGGATAGCACTCTACCAATTGAGCCACAGTTCCACTTCTGACTTTTTGCTAGTTTATCAGAGATAAGAGTCTCACAGGCTTTCCTATCCTGGCTGGTTTTGAACCACAATCTTCAGTTCTCAGCCTCCTAAGGGCTAGGATTACAAGCATGAACCATCCAGTGTGCTCAGCTTTTCCTTTGAATAGTTTTATAGTACCCCACCCATCATTTCCAAGCCTGAAAATGATGCACTTTGCTCAAAAGTTCACTCAATTTTCATAGAAATTATGTATGGATAATTTAAATCTTCTGTCAATATATTATAAAATACATTGTTTTGAACTATTATAAGCTGATGATGGCCTGAATTATGTGCTTTAAGTTCTGATCTAATATTTAGTGTTCCTTACTTGTGATCCTTTTTAGTAGAATTTGTGAAGCTTCTTAGCCACAAGAAAACTGCATGTTCATTAGTATTGTGAGTTCAAAATAAAAGAAGTTTGGCTAAGAGACAGAGGTTTATCAGCACAAACCAAGTTGAGTAGGCAGAATACTTTTCCCTCTTCATTTATATCACTCTTCATACTCACTCTTTCTTGGGTCAATAGAATTACTTTGGTCCCTTGTTGTGTGTTTGCTTGTGTGTGTGCACACATATTTATGTATAATCTGAAGACTGAAAATACATGTTGAATATGTTCAATACTCAATAAATGAACAAATGACATCTGACATATACTTTTTGGTTTCTTCCATCCACAGTAAAAGGAAATAGAAATTGTATACTTAAAGGGATGTAAGAGATAAGGAAGAAAAAAGCGAGAAAAGAGATTATGGAAAAATAGAACCAAGACATCTGCGTGCTCTCCTTCATTTGTGATCCTTTCCTCCCATTCTTTTGACCTACTTTGCCAGTAATGATTGGTTTTTCACACCTGGAGAACATAACACCCTGCTGTGAGATTCAGCCTGCAGAATTAAGTGTGAGTATCCAAGCTCTTTATCCATTAGGAGCTGAATTTTCTTCAGTTTAGTCAATTCTTGATCCATTATGGTGGGGTCAGCTTGCAAGTAATAAGATGTATATACATAATAGGATGTATATACATATGTATATACGTAACAGGTGAAGACAGAGGTCACACATAAAACATATTAAAATATGAAAAGAGTGTCCAAGTGTACAACCAGCAAGTTCCCTTTTATGCTGAGATGCTAGTGTCAGTTCTCTTACCTAAAATGTTTCCAGTTTTACAAAGTACTCTTAGTGAGTTAGCACTGTATTACCATTACAAACTAATGGCAGCACTGTATTACCATTACAAACTAATGGTATCTATCCATCCATCAGTGCAAATCCACATGCATGCTTAAAGCTCAGGAATCTGCATTTGGAAAGAGAACATCAACTCCTAACAAAGACTAAAGAAACCACAAACCAAAAACCACAGGAGGTTTGAAATGTCAGGATCCTAAAAAATTGTCTTCTGAGACTTGCAGTGAAATTAAAGCTGATTTTTTTTTAGCAATAAGCATATTGTTTAATCATTTTTATGGTAGATTGGTAATCATCATGGAAGAAACTGGGTCAAGTCATTCATATACCCATAATATGAAAAATAGCATTTAGCACATTGTCTTAATAATTACCATGAATTGAAAGGAAGCTGCTAACACTCAGAAACAAACATTGTTTTTCAATTGTAGATATCCAGACTACTATTTTTGGTGATCATGTCTCATCTAGCCACTTGAATTTCATTTCAGGGGACTTAAATAAATTATAGTGATACCCTCAATTAAATTTAACTTAATTTAGAAAATCAAGTGTTTTGTTTTTCTAAATCTGAGCATTCTAAAAGGCCAATCACAAGGAGAAGGAAAATAGACCACACCATCCTTGAATTTTCCTCTGAAACTCAAGTCAACAAATGAATCAGGACCTTGTAGATAGGGAAACTTTGACTAAAGAATACTATAACATGTTTTATCTTCATAGTAGGAAATCTAATTACCTTCTCACATTTGAGCCATTCTACAAATAACTTGTGTCCAGGTACAGAAAAACCAACAATATTTTATTTATAATCTTATTTTAAGCTTTTGAACTACAAATTGGGTTCTAGAGTTGTTTAAAAGTCATGGGTTTTATAGATGCTCATATGTAAATTAATCTGTTGTTTGCTTACTTCTTTTCACCCCTCTCCACGGAATGGTCCTCCTTGTAAATACAGCACAGCTCATTACACAAAAAATATAGGATCTTGCATTTGTTCCTCATTCTTTCTTTAAAAATCTGTTTCTAATATTGCATTCCCCATTGGACTACTTCATAAGGGTATGAAAGAAAATGAAAAAAAAAGAAAGAAAAGAGAGAGCAAAGGGAGAGGAGACAAAATAGACTGGATCTCACCACTAAAATTCACCATAAAAATCTCAAAGTGTAACAGAATTCTTACAAAATTTCCTAGGCCAGTTCTTTAGGGAATTGAGATCTATGAAAAATATGGCAATCGGGGAAGGGAGGGACGAGATGTGGGAAAATAGTAAATAAGTGCAGCAAAAACAGGTTTTGAGGAATACACATAATTTTGTCTGCTTTAGATCACAATAGAATTTTTAATAAATAAATTTCTTTTCTTTTTTGTTTTTTTTTGTAAAGACACTTTTTTTTGAAACAGTAGATTTAGCCCAGTCATTTGTGTCATTTTTTTTAATAAACTGTCTTTTGTGATTGTTTTCTATAACTCTGTAAATGTTTTAGATTTGAGTCTCTTGTACATTGTCTTTCGAGTTCATTCGGATCAATAACGGTTCATGCACTGAACTGTGTATTGAATTTATCGTGTTCACTGTGGTTGTGTGGTTGAAGGGAGATTTGTAAGAGTTATAGTGATTTAGGTGCTCATGTTCAATGGCAGGCATGGGCAGGTGGCTTTCCATCGGGGCATCCCCGGTGATCTCGTCATCCACGTTAATGATCTCAACAGTCCTCGTGGGAGCATGGTGGTTTTGCCGATGGTGCTGCTTCCTCATCTTGTAGAAAATGACCAGCATCACCGCCGCCATGAGGGTGATGGCCACGAAACACCCAATGATGATTTTAGTGGTCTTCATGACCTCGTCAATTCCTGGAATCCCGCTGTTCAGATCTGTCACTGGGATGGTGAATGTCTTTTCGGTGGACCTTGTGCTCTGCGGTGTGAGAGAGGTGGTCACGTTGGTGGTCTCCCAGTCGACCACTGGAGTGGGGCCCACGTTGTGATCTGTGGTCCGCGCTTCATCCTGAGAAGGTTCCATCGTCTCCACGGTGACAGTGGAGAAGTAGGAGAAGGGAGTGGTGGCGGCCGCGGTCACATTCAGGGTGGCCGAAGCCGTGGTGTTCCCCACAGAATTACTCACCATGCACGTGTACATGCCTGTGTCCTGCAGGGTGACGTTGGTGAAATTCAACGTCCCGTCGCTGAGCACAGCTATCCGCACTTTGTAGGCCCCGTGCGTCATGACTGTCCCGTTGGGAGTGATCCACGACACAGAGGTCAAGGAGGTCGAAGCCCGGCATTTCAGCTCCGCTGCCATCCCCTCCGTGACGTTGAGGTCAGCCGGGGGTTCCACGATCACAGGAGCGTAGCAGGTGAAGTAGTTCTGGTCCAGCTCGCCGATGTATCTCCCTTTCAGATTGGGAGGCGTGTTGCACCGGGCGCAGCAAGCCGTGTTGGAGGGCGCCATGTCTTTGATCCACCAGCTCAGCCACAGGATGTCACAGTTGCAGTTCCAAGGGTTGTGGTGCAGGTGTATCCGCTCTAGGTGATGCAAGGGTGTGAAGAGGTCGTGAGGCAGTAATGTGAGATTGTTGTGTGCCAGGTTGATCTCCACCAGCGACTGCAGGTTGTCGAAGGCGTTCCGTTCGATCACTTGAATCTGAGACTGGATCATCCACAGTTTTTGAAGGTGCATCAACCCCTGAAAAGAGCCGGGCCTGATGGCAGACAGATGATTCCCAGACAGGTCTAACTCATCCAGTTTGATGAGTGGGGTGAGGTTAGGGATTTCCCGGAGGTTGCACATGGCCAGGTTCAAGTACCTCAAATTGGACAGGCCTTCAAAGGCACCTTCTGAGATGTACGAAAGCCTCTTCAGTTCCCCTAAGTCTAGTCGGCGCAAAGAAGGGATCCGGTTAAAAGCGTAAGAAGGGATGCTTTCGATGGGGTTGTTTCGCAACCAAAGTTCCTTCAGTTTGGACAAATATACAAAAGCTCCATTGGGGATGGTGGTAAGACGATTGTCAAAGAGTTCCAGGGTGTTGAGGTTCGCCAGACCATTGAAGGCCCCGATTTCAATGGTTCGAATATGGTTCCTACTCAGCTGGAGGATTTCCAGGTGCCTCAAGTGCTTGAAGCTATTCACTTTGATGATCTGGATTTGGTTCTCGTGAAGGTTCAGCAGCCGGGTGTTGGTTGAGATGCCATCTGGGACCTCGCGCAGGTTTTTCCGAACGCAAATTACCTTGCTAAACTGGTTGCTGCAGGAACACACGGAAGGGCAGGTTTGAGCCCTCACCAGACCAGCCACCACTAGAAGTTGAAGAGCCAGCAGCACCACAAGCAGGGGGTCAAATAGGGCCCTGTTAAACCTAGGACCTATCATTATCTGCTGTGGATGTAAGGTCATCTTGTTCAACATTCATAATTTATCTGGTGTTGGTCCTTCTGGAGTTTGAACAATCTGAAAAGAAATAAATAAAGTGAGTGTTAGATCTTTAAATCGTTTTCTGGAATAATGCCAGTGATATTTTCTATCTGATAAAGTCATTCTTTGTCAAACCAAGAGACAACAAATGTAATATTCCTGTTGTTGTCTAGAGCCATTCCACTCCGAATGAGCCTGATCTCATCTATAATGTCCCTTGTTGAGCTAATTTATGGAGAAATATTTCTGTAGTCTAAATTACCAGCCATCTACAACCCACATTTATCAAATATTTAATCATGGAGGAATGGTCCTGATGCAATATTAACAAAATAAGTATGATCTAAATATATGAGAATATGTGCAATAAAATTCATCATCAGCAATAGGCATGAGCGGCCCATGTTTATAATCCTAGCTACTCAAGAAGCTGAGCTCTGGAGGTTTAAGCTTCAAAGCCAGCAGAAATGTCCACAAGATTCCATCTCAAAACTATCTAGTATGGAAATATGACTTGAGGTACAGTTCCAAGCAGGTTGTGAAGCACTCACACACATAATACTAGATATTCAAGAGGCTAATAATATCTAAGAATCAAGGCTCAAGGCCATCCTTGTCAGAAAAGTCCATAAGACTCTTATTTCTACCTGACCATGAAAGAGCAAGAAGTTGAGCTTTGGCTCAAGTGGAGAGCAAAAAGTCTCAGGGACAGCACCCAGGCTCTGAGTTAAAAATCCAAGATCTGCACACATGCATGCACGCTCACACACAAACATGAGCAGAGCTAGTTTAAGGCCCTGAGTTCAAATCAGGAAAGAAAGAAGGACAGGAAAAAGAAAAGGAAGGAAGGAAGGGAAGATGAAAGGTAGGGAGGGCGAAAGAGAGGAAGGGAAGACGGAAGGAAGGAAGGAAGGAAAGAAGGAAGGGAGGAAGAAAGGAAAGGAGGGAGAAAGGGGAAAAAAATTAATCATCAGCTTCTGTGTCTATATGAGATTGTCAAAGCACAGAAAATAGGATTACTATCTGGTTGATATTAGAATATTATTCTCTGTGCTAAGTACTATGGACTATAAAATTCACAAGCAAACATTTATGGCCTCATGGGGAAGTACAAAATAAAAATGTCCCAAGCCGTGCTTAAAGGTTCCTAAGCAACTTTAAATCAGTGATTGTAGCCCATGAAGCAAGAGTAGGCTTTTGTAAACCTGGGTTGTTTTTAATGATTCTGGCTGGTAATGCTTCCTAATATTGCCTACAGGTTCTACCAAAGGAACAGAGCCACTCATACACCTGTGTGAGAACAGTCCCCTATATTAGAGGGGTGACCACACCTGATCATCCTGTTCCGCTAAGCATACCACTTCAGCAGGGAATGACTTGGAGAAGACATAGAGGAAGAGCGCATACACACACACACACACACACACACACACACACACACACACACACACCTAGCCAGCCTGATCAATCCTGGTGATCACATCACTGTTGCCTCTCCTTTCTAACGTTTATAACATTCCTTTGACATGGAGACTACTGTCATCTCCATGTGGAAAATGATGACATAATCAGAAGAGAAGTAACATGAGACTCAAGTTATCTTGCCAGTAAGAACACAACTAGGGCTCAGCAGATTTGTCTCTAAGTGTACAATTCAAATAATGTCCTCATAAGAAGCCCAGTAGGGTCTCACACCTATGACCCCAGGTACTCAGGAGGCAGAGATCAGAAGAATCAAAGTAGCATAGTGTTATGCAGCCTGGACAAAAATCCAGAGAGACTCCCATCTCAAGATAAAGTTAAAAAAAAAAGTAGGCATTTTGGTATATGGCTGTCATCCCAGCTGGACAGAAAATGTAATTCAGACGGTGTGGTCTGTCGTGGTCAAGGATTGGCCAGCAAAAACTCTAGATGCTCAAAATTAACCAAACCATAAAGGGCTAGGTATAGGGCAGGGAATAAAGTACGTGTTAGATAAGTGTGAGGCCCTGGGTTCAAACCCAACACTTTTGATAAGTTTGATAAGTGTGAGGCCCTGGGTTCAAACCCAACACTACTAGAAACAAGTGGTCCCACAAAAACAAAGGTAAATGCAAAATATTTTTAACCGTTAACTGCTTTAAAATATCTTTTCTTGGGGGGTGACTTCAGCTGTAAACACTGATAAACACTGATAATTGAATTTCTGCTACCTGTGAAGGTGCAATGAACATAAGTGTAAATGTGCATAAATTTTCGATATTGTCACATATGACATATAACTTAAAAAAAAATCAGGGGCTGGGAAGGTGGCTCAGTGATAGAGTGCTTGCCTTGCATGCCTGAGGCCCTGGGTTCGATTCCTCAGCACCACATAAGCAAAAAGAAAAAAGCCGGAAGTGGCGCTGTGGCTCAAGTGTTAGAGCGCTAGCCTTGAGCTGGAGAGCTGAGGGACAGCACCCAGGCCCAGAGTTCAGGCCCCATGACTGGACCCAAAAAAAAAATCACTGGCCAGGTCTTGGTGGCTCATGTCTATAATCCCAGCAACTCAGGAGACTGAGATCTGAGGATCAAGGTTCAAAGCCAGCCAGGGCAGGAAAGTCCATGAGACTCTTATCTCCAATTAACCAACAGAAGACCAGAAGTGGCACAGTGGTTCAAGGTGGTAGAGCAATAGCCTTAGCAAAAGAGCTCAGGCACAGTGTCCAGGTCCTAAACAAACAAACAAACAAAAAGAAAACAAAAACATGGACTGTGAGCAGGCAGGCCATATGCTAAATCATTTCTTATGAAATATAATTTTTATTTTTTGAAAAATCAACCTAATACCACTATTATACCTGATGCTCAGACTCTTAAGGATTTTTCAATAAATTAGTAGAAAGGAAAGGTCTATTTTTCTAAGATTCTCTCTCTGTATATATGTATGTATATATATATATATATACTCACACACATACACATACATATATGTATATATAATATTAATGCCTATGTCACATAAAATATATTTTAAGTACATAATAAAAACCAAGTGAAGGGCATTGCCATTCTTCCTCTTCTTATTTGAGTAACACTAATATATTTCAAGCATGATGCCACTTTTAATTAGATACTATGTTATTTTTCAAATGTATGCAATTTACTCATATCCATCCTCCATCACTCTGTCTTTACCCCATCCCTATTCACCTCTCTACTCTACTGGATCCTTTCCTTGTCTAGTAGAAACTCTGCTACCTTCATGACTTAAAAAAAAATTCTAGATTTCCCCATATGAGAGAAAACATGTGGTTTCTCTCTTCATGAATCTGTTTTGTCACAACATGATGATCTCACATTCTACTCACTTTCCTGCAAATAACATTTCTTTCTTCTTTATGGTGGAATAAATTTCTCTTAAATAGTACTGTGGTAATGTCTGCAATGATCAGACACATATTACTAAAATATATGCAAATATGACATAGTGTTATTAGTTATAGGGTATATATGGCTCTACTTCCTCATCCCTGGGACTAATTTTATCATATAAATCTTGTTTACTTCAAGGTCTTTGTGCTACTTCAATTAACGGGGTTTCTTTATAAGTAATGATGTATATTATAGCTAGTTCAAAGCTAATTTATTACTGACAACAAATAGTACTTTGAACAATGTACTCAATCAAATAAACTTCTATCAATGAAAGGTTTTCTATTTTAAAATCTAAATCACGTTACTTCATATCAAAGCCTTGCTTTAACATCACTTTCAGAAGACACTTTTATTACGTCAAAAGAAAATCCATTTAAAGGTATGCACTCTCCATTACAATGCCATCTGACAGCATTTACTTACAAATGGATTGGTGTGGGTTTTGAATTAAGTGATGAGACTTTTAGCCTTGTCCCAGAGGATATCTTCACTTTATCAATAGGCCTCTCTTTCTTTCCTACCCATGCTTCAGTGCACTGGTAGCCATGGAGAGACTGAAGAAATTGCATGCAGAAGAATTAGCTATTTATTTTTTTTTTGTGCTTTATCTGGCACAATATTCTTGCTGGGTTGGCATAGTCTCTGTCTGTACATTAGAATCCATTTGGAAGAAGGGTGCAAGAAAGATTAATTGGGTCACCCACAAAGACCCCACATGAGATACACACAGGTACCCTCAGCAATCCTTGCTGAAACACGGAGAGTCAATCTACCTACACTGCACCTAGACTTCAAAGCACACCTCATCACCTGCATTAATGTGATCCTTGTTGATTCACTGTCCTTGTGATTATCTCTTCTCTCTTTGGGAGATCTCCAGCCAGAGAAAATGGTTTCCTTGAATCTTACAGAAAATTCTCCTTGGAAAGTTTCTGCAGAGGCACATGAGCTGAGCCATCCAATCTCTCACTTCACCAATCTTGGATTTTTGTACCCTGGTCTTAAGCACTGATAATCAAGATCCCACACTGAGAAAAAACAAATCTCAAAATCAAATTTTCCTTGTCAATAAATTATGACCTTCACTCACAGAAGTTTGCAAATGCTTGTGAGGTGGTGATCACACTTATGAGTATAAAACACAGCTATCTTTTCAATAGACTGAATCAGAAATTTTCTAAACTCGTTCGCCTACAGAAGGAGGTTTGTTTATTTAAAATGAGCTGGAACCTCAAATATATTTGTTCTTCCTGCTAAGAATAGAAGGGATAAAACTGAACTTAATAAAGGTTATATATGCAAATCTATAGCCAACTTTACATTAAAGGGAGAGAAGACAGCCACTTCAACAAATGGTCCTGGAAAAACTGAGTATCTACTTGCAAGAGACTGAAACTGGACCTCTCTTTCTCACCCTGTACATACATAAACAGACTCCCACTGGATCAAAGAGCTCAACATAAGTACTCAGAATTTAAATCTTGTACAGGAAACTGTAAGGAAAACTCTGGAAGGTATTGACACCTGTAATAGGATTCCTGATGGCCAGAGTACGAAAGCAAAATGTGATACATGGAACTATATCTAATTAAGAGTTTCTTCACAGCAAAAGAAACAATCTCCAGATCCAAGAGACAACC